GGCTCACAACCATCTGTAATGAGATCTGGTGCTCTCTTCTGGCCTTTAGAGACACATGCAGGCAGAACACTGTATACATAATAAATAAATCTTAAAAAAAAAAAAAAAAAGATGGCTGTAAAGAAATAATTAGGTGACATTCTTGCCACTTGAATGTATTCAACTGTTCTTTTCCTAAATGTTCATCTCCCTCCCTTAACATCAACACTTGACTCTGCAATTAAAACCTTTTCTTAGTAAACTCTGCTTTACACCAGCTCATCCTAAAATTCTACTCTGTGACCCAAGTTGAGAATGTCAGGGAGATGGCTCGGTCAGTCAAGTGCTTACCAGGCAAGCTTAAGGACTTGAGTTCAATCGCTGACACTCAAGTCAAAAAGCTAGGCAGAGCAGTGTGCAGTTGTACCCCACCACAGGAGTGAACAGAGAGATGAAAGGCACTAGCCTAGCAAGCCCAATCAGCAAACCTGATTCAGTAAAAGGTTTAGAACAATTGAAGATGATGCCAAACAACCTCTGCTTCTGTGAACATGCATGTTCACACAACCACAACCAATCACCTCCCAAATGCTAAAACAGATGAGATTGCTCAACTCATCTGAGGAGTCTCTGAAAAGAAATTCTCAAGCGCACTGAGCTTTTTTAAAGATTTACTTTTTAAATTGTGAGAGAGCTGTGTGTGTGTGTGTGTGTGTGTGTGTGTGTGTGTGTGTGTGTGTGTGTGTGTGTGTGTGTCTGGTGTCATGTGCCACGTACATGCATATAAATGCAGTGTCTTTGTAGTGTGGAAGAGAGCATCAGATCCTCTGGAACTGAAGTGACAGGCGGTTGTTGAGTAGGTCCTCTGGAAAAGCAACAGAGGGGGCATCAGAGAAGAAGGTATCTTAAACAAGAAAATACTTCCATAGGCTTGGCCTGGGGGCAAGCCTGTGGGATGTTTTCTTGTTTGATGATTGATGTGAGATGGCCCAACTCACTGTGGAGAATACACCTTGGCCTGGTGGTCCTAGGTGAAAGCAGGCTAAGAAGTAAATCAGTAAATGGCACTCCTCCATGACCTCTGTATTAGCCTCCAGCCTCCTGCCCTGACTTCCTTCAATAACGGATTGTGCTCCTGCCTCCAGACTCCTGCCCTGACAACCTCTGATGATGGACTGTGCTTCTGCCTCCCTCTGTTTGAGACTCTGCTCCAACTTCCCTCAGTGATAAACTGTGATATGAAACTGTAAGCTGAAATAAACCCTTAACTCTCCAAGCCACTTTTGCTCGGTATTTTTTTATTGTTTTTTTTGTTTGTTTGTTTGTTTTTGTTTTGTTTTTTTCCGTTTTTTCGAGTCAGGGTTTCTCTGTGGCTTTTGGAGGCTGTCCTGAAACTAGCTCTTGTAGACCAGGCTGGTCTCGAACTCACACAGATCCACCTGCCTCTGCCTCCCGAGTGCTGGGATTAAAGGGGTGCACCACCAATGCCCGGCTTTGCTCCGTGTTTTAACAGGGCACTAGAAACCTAACACTGGTTACCTTAGCACAACACTAACCTCCTATCTGCACTGTGGAAACAATGTTGGGAGTTTAGACATGCTCACTGTTGTACAAGTGTCTATGGACACATATAAAATAGAAAGAAGGAGAAGAAAGAAGAAGGAAAAAGAAGAAAGAAAGAAAGAAAGAAAGAAAGAAAGAAAGAAGGGAGGGAGAAGAAGGAAGGAAGGAAGGAAGGAAGGAAGGAAGGAAGGAAGGGAAGGAAGGAGGAAGGAAGGAAGGAAGGAAGGAAAGAAAGAAAGAAAGAAAGAAAGAAAGAAAGAAAGAAAGAAAGAAACCTAAGACAAAGCTCTTAATCACAGAGCCATCAATCTCAGCCCTTTATGCTGTGTCTCTTGAAGAGACTTTAACTTCCCTGGTGACCTGTATAGCAAAATTTTGAAGTAATTAAGAGTTTTCCTTAACTGCTGTTAGTTATTTGGCTTTATTCTTCCAGCTTATACGTAACTTCCAATCCTTTGTTTTGTTTTGTTTCTGGCCAAAGACTACCTTGTGTTTAGTAAGTATTCCCAGTGGAGAACTTAGGAATCCTCTTTTTCCACCGTTTAAGTAAGGTGGAACAATCATGACTATTCAGGAGTATATCACTTTAAGGACTGATCCAATATCCTCAACCACTCTCTTGCCTGAGATTTGGGTTGAGGTGAACCAACTCTGGAGTGATTTCCACATGGGAAAAATTCACTCAGCAGCACATTCTGGATCCAAAACACATTAGGAATGGCCTCTGCTATGGCACAAGCTATGGAGCTATTACTTTTCCTCCTTAAGTACATTCTGTCACACTTGCAATCTCATGGATAGTGGACCCTGATCATCTCTTCCCCAATACATTTGCCACCTTGCTTTCATACCCTCAAACTTTTCTCCTGCTGAAACCCTCTCATTTCCACAACTGGCACCATCTCTTGACTAGCTTCAGAATTACCTAGGAGACAAACCTCTTGGTGTGGCTCTGAGAATTTCTGGATTGGGTCAAGAGAGATGGAAGACCTATTCAAATGTGGGTGGCACCATTCCATGGGCGGAAGCTCTGAGCTAAATAAAAAGAACAAATGGTGAACGCCAGCATTTATCTGTTTCCTGACTGCAATGTGACTAGCTGCCTTATGTTCAGGTTACCTATCTTGCTTGATCTTTTTCAAACTGTTGGCCAAAATAAAGCCTTCTTCCTCCCTTAAGTTGTCTGGTTAGTGTGGTACTTTGAATAAGGATGGCCTCCATAGGCTTGTAACAGTCAAATATTTAGTCACCACCAGTTAGTGGAACTGTTTGGGAAGGACTGGGAAGAATGGTCTTGTTGGAATAGGTGTGTGATGGGGGATGTCCTTCGGTATATATGTTTCTCTAAACACTGATTGGCCAATAGCCAGGCAGGAAATATAGGTGAGGCTACCAGACATGGAGAATTTGGGGGAGAGGATGTGGAAAGTGAGCAGCCAGAGGGACACCATGTAGCTGGACATTCTCCATTAAGTTAAGGCCATGTGGTAATACATAGATTAGTAGTTATGGGTTAATAATTAATAGAGAGCTAGCCAGTAAGAAGCCTAAGCCATTGGCTAAACATATTGTAATTAATATAAGCCTCTGTGGGCTTATTTGGGGCTAAATGGCTGTGGGACCAGGTGGGACAGAACCTCTGTCTGCAGGTGTGGCCTTGTTGGAGGGGGTGTATCACTGGGAGTGGGTTTTAACATTTCAAAGCCCATGCCAGTTTGTCTCTCTGCCTGCAGATCAGGATATAAAGTGCTCAGCTACTGTTCCAGCACCATGCTTGTCGGCTTCCCACCATGATAACCATGAACTAACCCACTAAAGCTGTTAGATAAGCCTTCAAATTAAATGCTTCTTTTCATAAGAGTTGCCTTGTCATGGCAACAGAACAGTAAGACAGGAATTGAAGGGTGGGGTGCTTCTAAAATTTACAGTCTATAGGGTTTTATTTTGTGTATCTAGTATTTTAAACACTATTACCAAAATAGGCAATATGCTTTGTTTACTCAAAAAGCTCAACCCATGGATAACTGAGGTAATACAAACAAGGCAGTAAATGTCTACTTCTAGCAAGGAACCCAGTATGCATGCATCTCAATTGGAAATATAACATAGGACAGTAATGCAGTAGTGTAGAATTCATTTAGAGTATCCTGAGTTTTACTTTTCTTCTTCTCCCCACCCCTTTTCTTTTAGATACACAAGAATATGCAGAATATAACTTAACTTCTTAATGATGTTTAGGTTAATCAATATCCTTAACACATGAACTTTTGATGATATTTCTAGTAAGTTCTATCTTTACTTTTACCTTTACCTTTACCTTTACCATTACAAGTCCAAGTTTAGGATTAAGGATTGCTTACTATCAGATCAACTACTACAGATCAGTAGCCTAAGTGGTGGAGGGGGAGGGAATGGTATGCTAAACCTAAACAAAAGCCACAAAAGTTGGGGAATAACCTAGCCTATTTTTATGTATGACTGTGGATATGCACATAGTGTGTTTACATATGTATAGTTCTTAAAACTAGCTTATGATTCATGTAAGAAAACACTCAACCCAAATTTTTTTTAGCTCATGTTTTGTTTTTGCACAGGTCTCATGTGGTCCAGGCTAGTTTTAAACTTGCTATGTAGGTGAGGATACTTTGAATTCCATGAACTGCCTCTATCTCCAAGTGCTAGGATTATAGGTATCTGCCACCACACACTAAGCTTAAATACTTTTGTTTAATATGTGTGTGAGAGAGAAAGAGCTTTAGAGCACTAACAGTGTACACGTAAGGAAGGACAACTTTCAGTCCTAGGCTCTGTTACTTCTGCTGCTGTGCTGGTTATGGACGACCCTAGTCTCCTGCTCCCAATATGCCTTAGGAATGCTGGGATCACAGATCTGAGCCACCACGTTTTTTTTTTTTTATTTTTTTTTTTTTAATGTGGGTTCCAGGGTCATTGGTATTGAGCATCAATTGCTTTTAGCTATTGAGTCATCTCACTGCCCATTCCCTCACTCCCCTCAAATTTTAAGCAAGGTAATTCAAATTTGTCAATAGGAAAATAACAGGATGTCCCCAGAACACAAATATTTTACCTGTGCTTATTTTTACAATTGTTAGATACTAAAATAAAATGTCCAATGTTTTGTTTAAAATTCAGCTACTTGGGTTTTTTTTTTAATTACTTAGTAGAAAAAATAGTATTTTTCTCGATTTTAAGTAGGGGCTAGAGAGATGCTCAGCAGATACGAGTTATTGGTTGTTTTTAGAGAAAACCAGGATTCAATTCCTACTGTAAGAAATATTAAATATTAGTCTTCTCTGTTATATACTGAAAAACTTAAGTTTATAAACAGGAATTCAAATCTTTTTATATCTCCCATCACTAAGAAAATATTTTAATGTCCCCATATACACACCTGATAAAAATCTTTATTCATACAAAGGCGCTGCTGCATTCTCAGTGACTTAAGCAGCCTATTCCTTCCATTTCCTTCATTTCCTTTGCTCCAATTCTAATTAGTCAGCCATGCTTTGAAGCACTGGGATGAGTATGTAACTTTTCCCTTCATTACTGGTATTTTTGTAAGTTTCTATGAAGAACACAAGTTGTTTTTGTTTTTTGTCTTTAATTGAAACAAATGGATCAAAAGGCAAGGTTTCCAAAGCTGACTGACTTTCTTCCTTGGCCACTTCCTGGCTGAGCTTCAGTAAATGAAACTGAAAGTAAAATAAGAGTTTTCCTTGGGGAACAAAATATGCTTTAGGGCCACTGCTGTTAAAAGCAGGTCCACAGAGTCAATATCAGTCACATCCTATGCTTATGAAAACTAAGACCAATAGCCCAAATTTTATGACTAGGTGCACTCCTACCCCAAAAATTTGAACTAGGATTTTGTCCATCTTTTCATTTTATTTTTTTCAGTAATATTCTAATGTTTTATAAAAGTACAGACACCACAGATTACAACAAAATAAGTAAACCAATGAAGACCATGATGAACAGCACAGTCTTAGGGTTCAACAGAGCACTCGCTCGAGGCCAAGCCTGTCAACCTGAGTTTGACTGCAGAAAACTATATGGTAAGAAGAAAAATCTGACTCCTTTTAGCTGTCCTCTTGACTGTGACACAGGTGTGCATTCATACACCACACACACACACACACACACACACACACACACACACAAATAGATGCAAAAAGTTTTAACACTCATTGCAGCAAACTTTTCAGTGAAAACTTAAAATAACCTAATTGTTCAGCAAGTGGTACAAAGAATTTTAAGCACTAAAAATAAGAAATCTAATTTTTATAGTTCAGTATGAAGTATCTCAAATCGGCATGTTCGTAATGAACAAGGTGAAATGTGTAAATGGCATGTAGGCTTGCAAAGTGTGAACACAGTAGCATGCACAGAAAATGACACCTGCTAAATTGAAGAGAAGGCTACAGCTTGGGCCAAAGCCAAAGGACTGTAAAGCACAAATAATATGAATTAGGTTTTGGCCTGATGCTCTACTTGCCTGCAACTTCTGGCCAGCCATTTTATAAAAAATTCACAATTTTGGTTTTAAAATTTGTTTTTAAATTCAAACAAAACAATAGTGGTTATTATCCTGGCTACTTGCTCTGTAAAGATTGTGTGAAGCAGGAAATATGGCACATCTGGGGAGGATCCCACTGAGGAAGGAGAGACCTGACTCCCAGAAAATTGTCCTCTGACTTCCACATGAGCATACACCCCTTTGGTTAATTTTTATAAACTTAACAAACTAGAGCCATCTGGGAAGAAGGAATCTCAGCTGAGGAATTGCCTCCACCAGACAGTCTGTGGGGCATTTTCTTAATTGCTCATTGATGAAGTACACTGTGGGCAGTGTATTCTTGGACAAAGTTGGCCTGGTCTATGTAAGAAAGTTAGCTGAGCAAGCAGGAAGAGATGAGCCAGTAAAGAGTAGTCTTCCATGGTTCTGCTCCTTCCCTGGTTTCTCCCAGTGATGAATTGTTTCCTGGAAGTGTAAAATGAAATCAAACCCTCTCCTCCCCAAGGAGGCGGACTTGTGACACAATGATAATACAACTCTGGCTCCAAAGGTAGGTTAGGCCAGCAAGGACTGCTATCTACTGAGCCTTCACCTTTGTACCAATTAGCCAACCTCCTCAGATGTGCAGTCAAGCACCCACCAATGGGATAAGACAAGAATAAAAGATGAAAAACATCTTGCCCATGTATGCTTGCTAGCAAGGTTTGGGTTCTCGTGTACCATTTATGTAGAAAAAGATGGCATTGCCCAGCTACTTTTGCTCTGTTCACACTTTGTGCAACACCAAAATTATTCTTTGTTTTTAACAGTATTAGCATAAACTTGTAACTTTTAATAATAGAAGAAAAGAGAGGGGGAGGGAGAATGGGTGTGTACATACATAAAATACTGGTGGGAAGAGGGAACACAGATACAGATGAAGTAACAAGAATACACAAGTCAAGAACACTGACAGTCTTACTTCTCAGGAGGGACAAAGCTCATCCTACTATGCTGATGCTACTTTGCTCTCTAACATATACACCACATTGAGAGTACTCTCAACATGGCACTTTAAGAACATGAGTCCAAAATCCTATGAACCTAGCCATCAATCTCCTCACATTAGAAAGTCAGCTACCCTACTAATTAATAGGGGCCAGGACAGCTTATTCTTTTTGTTATCCACTTTAATGTGTCAACCATGCTTAGCCATGAATAATCAAACAGACAAACTTGTTCCTCAAAGAAAAGCATACTTCATGAATATTCATCCTTTTAATCTCAAAAAAAACAAAACAATTTAGCTCTAAAGAAAGAACAGTAAATCATTTCATCAAGCAAAGATTTGTTCAAACTAATGTTATTGATGCAATTAATAAAATTCTAAGAAAAATGTTACTTTTTGACACCTGAAGATATTAAGGATAGGCCTGGTGGCTTAATGCTTACATTCCTAGCACTCAGAAGGCTGAAGCAGAATTGATTCAAGTTCCAGGCTAGCCTGGAGCTAGCTACAGTGTGACACTGAATCTTGAAGAGATTGGAGGGGAGTGGAAGAAAATGAAAAACAACCTTGGTGACACAGCCAACTATGTACAGTCCAGGATGCACTCAAACTCCCAATCCCCTGCCTCTACCTCCTGAATGACAAACTTTAGTCTTTCAAATGAACAAAACTGTTCCAAACTCCTGCCTAAGTATTATATGCTATATAAAAATAAAAGTATTACCATAACTTACCATTCCACTGGAATTATTGATTCCATTCATATTAATTTTTGTTACAAATCTAACTGATGGAGGAGCTTCTGGGTATTTAGATCCACATTCTACTTTCAGGCTATATATTCTGTTTTCATAGTTTGTCTGGAAGGATAGGGAAAAGAAGGGATAATTATAATGACAAAAACTAAAATACTGCCCAACTGTTAATAAAGAAAAAATGTAATATGAATATACTTGTTATGATGATGTTTGTGATTGTATACAAATTTCTGTACAATGATATTTAAACTATATAGTTAGGAAAAGTGCACCAAGCATACTTAAAGTACAGTATGAAACTAAACTAATCCCATCAAGTGGAATCACAATAATCAGAACTTACTTTTTGTGACACAATGGTGCCAATAACAAATCAGAAAGAAAAGCCAACTTAAATTTAGATTTTAATTTAAAAAAAAAAAAAGGGTATACTGAAAGGACAAGTATGTGGCTTGTATCCCCCATACATAAAGGTTTCACCAGCCAAAACAATCTCACTGGTTTCTATTATTTCAGTAATACTAGCAATACCTCTTTTTATTCTCACATGGATTTTCTGGGTAAAAAATTATGATCACTTTTCACAGATGGGCAGGCATTACTTCTAGAAAAGGGAAAATCATAACATACCTCATCTTACAACAATAGAACAATTTCTTGTTTCCCTTTGCACAATTATGTAATGAATTCTATGGTTTATTAATACCATTATCTGAATTAATGTGCATTTTAAATTTACACAAACTTTCAAACATGGCTTCTAATTAAGTTTAGCTAATACCACATTCTTATAAAACAGGAATTTTAAGGTTACAACAGACTTCAAAGCTATTCAGGGCTTATTCTCATGTAATAATTAGCTTTTCTTTCTCATTATAGCTTTTGTTCACTTAGTAGTTCTGAAACAGGAAAATACATAATAAATGAAAGTAGCAAATGTAACATCTATTGATGTCAGTATAAAACTATGGAGAAAATAAGTCATGTTAACAGCTACAAAGCTATTCTTAAGTGGAGTTCAGATATACAATATTAAACTACTGTAATAAAAAATGTATGAAACAATCTGAAGCATGTTATCAAATACTTCAATATTTTGAAAGAGCTCTATAACTCACCCAAATTTGACAGCAAACATTCATACACCCAGCAATTTGGTGCTATATAAAACTGAGTGAAATCAAACAGTTCTCAAGAGAGTATCTTTTTCGTGGTTCTCCAATTTGAATGCAGATCAGACTATCTAAAGAAATTATATTAAAAAGAAAAAACAAAACAAAAAATGCCAGGCATGGTGGTATGATTGTAATCCAAGCATTCGAGAGGCTGAGGCAAGAGGATCATTTCAAGTCTGAAACCAGCCTGGGCTACACAGCAAGACCCTGCCCCCCAAAAAGCACAAAAAAATCAACAGAAGCCAAGGCCTTCTCTTCTCCCCGAATCAGGTCACAAAACCGGCAGGCATACCCTAAAGTAGATCATTAAATCTCATCCATACAGCCAGAAAACAAGGAAATTTTTCATCTCTGAAAAGATAGAAATAGAGAAGAACCTAATAGGCCTTGTTCAGTGCCCCCTCCACCCCATTCAGTACTACTGGATCAGGCTCTCTGTGCAATGAAATAAATGTGCACTATATATCTCAGTCATAAACCTTGTAGTGTGAGGAAAAGGTAGCGCACACACACACATACACAACTCCAATGCAATGACCTACAGAGAAGGCCCATGGCACCTCTGCCTGTGTCTTGGTGAGCTAAGAGACAGGAGCTACACAAATAGCCTTTAGCTGCAATTGGGTAAGGACAGGACATGATATTTCCTGTGTGTCAATGACAACAGGAAAAGCAAGGGGCTTAGAAATCCCAATGGGGACTCAAATGGAGACAAATAAAGAAGGAGCTACAACATTTCCTCCCCATCGAGAAACTATGCGAAGAGTCTGTCTGCAAAACCACTGATAAAGTAGACACAAGTCCAACACATACTTCAGACACAAAGTCTACTGGGGGAAGTGGCTACAGAAAAACCCAACCTAAATAAATAACTTCAAATTTATATTTTACCAAGTTTTGACTTAAATCTTCAAACTTATATACCACAATGTTATAACTACATGCTTTTAATTTTCTTTTAGCTAGACCATCATAATAATTTTTACAGACAGTGAAGAAACCAGTTTTCATCACAAATACCAAGTTAGTCTTTTAACCAATCTTATATTTCCTTTCTTCAATGTCTTATAGAAGAGTCAGAAGGAGAGTTTCAAGAGTGCACATAAGAGTGTAGTAAGTCTACAAACTGTGTACTCTTAACAGACCTGGTATAAAAGAACTGCAAAGGAACACCAGGAAATGCCAAAGATACTTACTTGTCTAACATTGCTAATTACATGAAACATTAAATAATACTCATTTCAATGCACTGCTTAAGACACTAAATAAAGAATGCACTGCAAGCAAAATTTCTCCATCTAGTAAAAAAAAAAATATATACATAAAAACTTCACACAATCCTGAGAAAGACCTAAGAACAAATGTACAAAAGATCAATAACAATACTAGAAAATAATTAAGAACCTTAACCAGGCAGTGTTGGTGCATGCCTTTAATCTCAGCACTTGGGAGGCAGAGGCAGGAAGATCTCTGTGAGTTCAAGGCTAGCCTGGTCTACAGAGTGAGTTTCAGGACAACCAGGGCTACACAGAGAAACCGTGCCTCAAAAGAGAAAAGGAAAGAAAAGAGAAAAGAATCCCATGTGATATGCATACTAACTTCACCACTGAACTACATACCTCCACAAGAGTCTTAGATATGCTGCTATATTTTGTAAATTGGGGCATTAGACCTACAATATCCCACCTAGGCCTGTGAAACACAGGTCACAGCAATGTGTAATCACTGCAAGCCAATCTAGAGATCTTCAGTCACATGAGAGAGCAGACAATGTGACACACTCTTCCAAATACCTCCTCCATTTCCTCCCCTTTCTTCCTCTCTGATATGGAATGTTATCCATCTCCACCTTCAGAAATCCTACTAATCAGTCCTTTATGGCCCATTCTAAAGGCAACTTCATCCTCTGCTCCCCTTCCTCAATTTACTCCGGTTGAAGAAACATGGTGAACTTGCTCAGCCATATTAGAATCTAACACTAGGAATGATTTTTTTTTTCTTCTCTACTAAAACACAAACACTTAGGGGGCAACACCTATTCCTCCTGCTAATGGAGCTTAAACCCTTCAAACAAGAGGTAATAATTAAATGTACATAAAATATATAAAAGTGCAGGAATTAGTCCTGTCAAAAGTTATCACAATTGTCTTTTATTACCAATAAAATTAAATGTTAACTCAAAATAAACAATAAATATTAACAGTAAACATGTATAATTTATAGCACTGACCCTTGGTGGCCCAATAATCATGCCTGTCCACCTTGTAAGTGTCATGTCTTCATCATCTTCAAGGCCCCAGCTAACCGTACCATCACCTACTCCTTTCTGTCCTTCTTCAAGTTCTTCCAACAAGCGAAAATTCCGAGGAACTTTAACTCCTATACAAAAGAATGTCAGTGTCAACATAAAAGCTCATAATTATTAAGAGATACACTGTTTTGTTTTGTTGGGTTGGGGGGGGTTGGTTTTGGTTTTGGTTTTTGAGACAGGGTTTCTCTTTGTAGCCTTGGCTGTCCTGGACTCACTCTCTAGACCAGGCAGGCCTCGAACTCTGTGATCCACCTGCCTCTTGCCTCCAAGTGCTAGAATTAGAGGCATGCATCATCACCACCCAGCAAGAGATAAATAATTAAGCCTTTTGTAGATTAGTTTTCACAAATTATTTCACCCAAAGGCAAGCTTCCCTCAAAAACGTACTGTGTCTCAGGAAATATCTAGCCTAATAGTCCCTTAAAATGAAAATGCCAGTTTAATATCAATTGCAAACAGCTCATGGTTAGGTAGGACTTTGTGTGTCCACTCCCCCTTCTCAGCACTGGGATTTGTCTAGTTTGATCCTGCAGTACATGCTGCCATAGTCTCTGTGAGTTCCTATGTGTCATTTTTCCCTAATAGAACATCACTAGATGCCACACTCCAGGCAGGCACCATGCTCAGAAGCAGCAGGCCCTGCCCAGAGGCAGCAGAACAACACAAAACAGACTTCACTTTTGTATGTGGGTGGGCTTTTTGTTTCCTTTTGTTATTTTTTGCCTTATTGTTTTATTTTTTGGTTTAACTTTCAATTTCTTTTTGTCTTTTGAGACACAACAGAGACAGACAGACAGACAGACAGACAGACAGACAGACAGACCATAACAACAGCAGGTGGTGGTTAGGAGGATATGGGAGGAATTTGGGGAGAAGAAAGAATATGATCAAAATATACAGTATGAAAAAAATATTTTAATGATATGTCACTAAAAAGCATTGTGTAAAACAATACAACAGTCCTGAACATGTATATAATTCCTACTCAATCAATTCTATACTGGCATATATCAATTATGAAGAAATCTTCATTTTCCCCTAGGTGAGGTTCTTAGCCAAGGGCTTTGACATAAAATTAATGAGCAAAATCAGTTAAATTAGCAAATGATTACATGAATATACACACCCCAATAATTTTTTTGTGAGAATTTCATTCAATCCTAGAAAATGCAACGAAAGTTTAAAATTTTCTAGAATACTGAGGTGGGCCACCCATGGTCCCCACTGGTCCCAGTATATCAAAGGAACCTTACATCTGCCAGATAATCCCCATCACTCAACCACTACCTAGGGCCTCAAGCACCCACACAAGCACTCTGTCACTGAGCTATGCTCCCAGCCCTATAAAGTTTTGAAAAACAAAAACTCAGCAACTAAATTGCAGCCATCATCTATATACACAGTTTATACAAATGCTAGTTTAATGGTAAATTTTTAATTCACAGAGGAAAAAATCCATCCAGATAAGATGATCCTTCTACCCTGGTGGTGGTGGCATATGCCTTTAATCCCAGAGGAGGCAGAGACAAGTGGATCTCTGAATGTGAGGCCAGCCTGGTTTGCAGAGCAAGTTCCAGGACTGCCAAGGCTACACAGATAAAGTCTGTCTTGAAAAAAAGCCCCCCAAAAAAGAGGAGGAGGAGGAGAGTGGCAAGAGGAAGAAAAGGAGGAGAAGGAGAAAAAGGAGGATGTGGTGAAATCCCGGCAGGACAGAAAATTCTGCCCAAGAGGAAGAGGAGGAAGAAGAAAAAGAATGATTATCTTATTAAAATAAAGTCACTAGGACAACAATAGCACCTGGGAGCCCCATCTCACCTGAGCATCATTACCTGTTAGTCTCCCAGCTAAGGACTACATTAAGAAAATCAAGAGCTGGGAGGTGGTGGTGCACGCATTTAATCCCAGCACTCGGGAGGCAAAGGCAGGTGGATCTCTGTGAATTTGAGATCAGCCTGGTCTATAAGAGCTAGTTCCAGGACAGCCTCCAAAGCCACAGAGAAACCCTATCTCAGAAAAACAAAAAAATTAAATAAATAAATAAATAAATGAAAAATAAATAAAATATAAAACATATGCCAGACACTAAATTATGATCTAGAACTGAACTAGACAAAACGAAAAAACCAAATTCAAATCAAAGTTGGAACATTTGATACATCTGACCTATAGCTTCAACCACAAGTCAAGGACCTCCAAGTTAAGACAGCTTGCTAAATTCCTGATACCATGGTATGAGCCATGTGTTACTATATTGACAGGAGAATTAATCACACAATTGTTATTCTTTATGTGAGGACCAAAAAGACTCTTGACCATCTCTCCCTGAACTACCCTAAAAGTACATTCACAAATCTATTTGCTATATATTAATACCACTAGGTAAAAGGAAATAAGCCTCAGTTATGCTAATGAATCTGGGAATAACTTTTATCACTACACAATGATAATTTTTTTTTTGGTTTTTTTTTTTTGAGACAGGGTTTCTCTGTGGCTTTGGAGACTGTCCTGGAACTAGCTCTTGTAGACCAGGCTGGTCTCGAACTCACAGAGATCCACCTGCCTCTGCCTCCTGAGTCCTGAGATTAAAGGCGTGCGACACCCCACAATGATAAATTAAAAGCAGCAAAATATCATGTAAGACTGTACTTGAGAAATTTCTCATTCTTAAGTCATTGGCATAGAGCCAATACCACCGGAAATGATAACATCACAATAGTTACCCGGTACAAAAATTTGCCTACTTACAGAAAATGTTTTTATTCTCTCAGTATTTGTGAACTGACATAAACCAAGTGCTGCTGAGACTGAACATTCAGAGACAAAATGCCTCTCCCTAAGATCTTAAAACCCAATGATAAAATCAGGTTATGCATTTGTTCAAATACAAAGCACCAAGTTGTCTGGATATGCTATAGAATTTGCAAGGACATAGACAAGCTCAAGGGACAACACAGCAGTAGTTTAACACACTCCAGTAAAGCAGCTAACAATGTTTATTGAAGAACTCTGAAGGGGGTGCTTTCCTTAGAATAAAGGAGCCACAGGCAAATAACAACACACTCTGGCTTCTCCCTTCTAGTTTTGATTTCTCAGTAAAATCAGGAATGGCACATACTTTAAAAGATGGATGTGTGGTCCTCTAACAAAGACCACTAACTGGTTACAACAGCTCTCCTGTGAAATCCAGGAAGTTGTAGTTAACTTCCATAATCAGAAGACTGAATAAAACAAAATAAACAGCTATTCCTTCAAATCACTGTTTATGAGGTAAACATCTCAAAAAAAATTAAAGACTTTTCAATAACAAGCATTTCCTCTGGGGCAATTACCTCTTGTTGGTACTGTTCAGTAAACACAGCTGGTATTCTGGGTAGATGATACTAGTACAAATAACAGTTTATCTACCTGTCATTGTTTGTACTTTTCAGTAACATTTTAGTCACTACACTGAAAGACCTAAGGCACAATTACAGTATCTCCACAGAATAGATGGCTTGCAATACTCCTGATTATTAGCTATAATGCTTTTTTTTTATGTGAATTGAAGCTAAACTTCAAGTATTAAGGTGAAATCATACTGCTGCCACTCTGCCACATGGTAATCATGTACATCCATTCTAACAAGCTCATCAATTAGAAAACAAAGGACAAGCTAGGCAATAAAGCACTTATCAAAAGTCACTGTCTACATAGGGCTCTAAAGATGACAACCACCCCAAAAGGGAGGATGACAAACACAATGGCTGGGAGGAATGGGCAGAGTAACAGCTTCATCATCCCTGAAGCAAGACAATAGAGGAAAAGGATGAGCCTGGCCCAAGAACAGCAGCAAGAACTCAAGAGTTCAAAAGCCTGAGTCCTCAAGAGGGACAGAAGCATAACCCAGACTCTTCTGAGGTCAGTACCTCCTTCCATAGTAGAGCAGAGGCTCTGAGTGGTGGGAAGAGGGCAAACAAGTGATACCTAAGCATAAACACAAGTTCTCAATAGAAGGGAAACAGGCAAAAAAAAAAAAAAAAAAAAAAAAAAAAAAAAAAAAAGAGAGAGAGAGAGAGAGAGAACAGGGATAGGATTCAGAAAGCTAAGCTCAAACAAATTCTAGCTGGCCCAGTGGGTTTGCTGAAAGGCAGACTTGGAAGTAATAGTAGGAACTGAGATAAGTCCCACAAGCATAAACAGGCACAGTGCTTATGCAAGCAGGAGTGCTTGCTCTCTGCACAGCTGATTTGAAAACTGTGTTTTTTAAATGAAACCAAATGTAGTTCTATTACTCTATGTATTATTGTAAGTGAAGGCAAGTGACAAAAATGGGAGATATACTTGCAAAGTATGTTATCTGAGAAGGAATTTCTATCTAGAACAAAGAACTTCTCCAACTAAACAATTAAAAAGATGAAAAAGCAGTCCAATTTAAGAATAGTCAAAGAACTGGCCACAGTGGCATATGCCTATAATCCCACTACTTAGTAAGTGAAGCCCAGAGGATCAAGAGTTAAAGACCAGCTGGCAAAATGGTTCAGTAGATAAAGGTGCTTGCCACCAAGCCTGACACCCAAGTTCAATCCCTAAGCTCCACATAATGGAAGAAGAAAAGTCATCTTCCCACAAGTTATTCTCTGACCTCCGCATTCATGTTGTGGGTGGGACAGACAGACAGACAGACAGACAGACAGACAGACAGACAGACACACACACACACACACACACACACACTCTCTGAAAGAATAAATAAATTTTTTAAAAAATGTAAAAAGCCAGTCTTGCTGTATAGTAAATTCAAGGCCAGCTTAGACTACATGACAGTTTTAAAATTTAAGATTAAAAACGAAAATAAACCCAGGCGGTGGTAGCACATGCCTTTAATGCCAGCACTTGGGAGGCAGAGACAGGCAGATAGCTGTGAGTTTGAGGCCAGCAGAGTTTGAGTGAGCAGAGTGAGTTCCAGGACAGCCAGGGCTACACAGAGAAACCCTGTCTCAAAAAAAAAAAAAAAAAAGTTGACGGATATGGAATCTTCTCAAGAACACATATAAATAGCTAATAAACACAAAAAAGGATACTCAGTATCAC